ACCCCCGGAGCCTCTGCTCCACTGCCGGCATCGCCCCATAACCCTTCTCATTCAGCCCCACGATGTTCGAGTAGTTGGTGACTGTTGGGCTGAAGAGTCGGGCTGAGTACGGTTTCTCCCATGATCTCGACACCTCGGCATGGAGATCGGGGAAAAATGGAAGACCCCGGCATGAAGGTTGTGATATAGCTTTAAGGATCCCTGAGAGGGAACCGTGGATCTAGCGGGTGAGGACCGAGATAAGGAAGAGCCCGTCTCGGATCCCTCCGCTAAATCCACTTGCGATCCCCATGATAACTGCCGCCCCCTTGAGGGCTGCCCGTGCATGCTCCACTACCAAACAGACGACGCACAAATTGTGTGTATCCCCACCCGAGAGATAGTGTGGGCAGGGAGGAACACATGACTTGAAACGGCGTCCACTCGCCACATTAGATTTTGCTTAACACTTAGGAACATGAATTTTCTCTTTCTATACAGAGTAATTCCTGACTGACTGAGTGCTTTTTGCCTACACAGACACACATACACAGACATGCTCGCTGAAGAGCAGAAGCTAACATGTGCATTTGCCGGATGCGCCTTTATGCTTTCTGGTTGCTCACGTCACCCCGCTCGTGCCGCCTCGCTTCTCTATTGGACTGATTTCACACATGCTTCAGTACGAGGTCTCTCCCCGGGGGCATTCCTAAGGCGTTCGACGCAGCTTGAGTTCCTGAAGGGGAACCACCTTTACACTATGGGTACAAGTAATTCTAAAATGTCTAGAAGGAGTTTATCATGATTTGTTTGCAGATGCCACTTTTTTTAAATCTAATGCAGTATCAGTAATCTGATCTCTCATGTCTGTTGTTTCCTCACACATGTCCACCAATGAGCTGCCTGTTGCTTGTTGGGCATTTAAACATGGCTAAACAAAGACAGTTCCTGTGGTAATGTGGCTTTGGGCAGTGTGCAGCTGTGCAGACGATTGTTATTTTGCTGACAGCAAAACAAAAGAGTCTCTAAACCCAGAACACAACACACACACACACACACACACACACACACACACACACACACACACACACACACACGTGTATATATACATACACACACACACACACACACACACACACACACACACGTGCATATATGCATACACTCCTTAAAGCCATTTCCATCATGAGCAACTTCCTGATTAAATTACCAACAGGCTTGGCCAGATGGAAAAAAAGAATGATGTTCTTTTTATTGCTTGTTATGTAAAGAATAATTTGTGTGATGTGTATTGTCTCATGGTATTATTTACATCTGAGCTTGCTTTTTAGTGTGTTATGACTAAATATTGACATATTTTTTTCTATATTCATAGGAATTGTCACTGATTATAGAGTAAGTATGCTGCATGCAATATGTGTGTGCAGGTGTGCGTGTTTGAGATAATATTTGTTTAGCCTGCTGATGACTTCTGTTAACCTATATTAGGTTATTATCTGAATGAATAACTTTTCTTGTTCTGATAATATTATTACCTAGGTAACTTGGTGATTATCAGAGGTTCAGTGACTGAAAAAAACAATAGGTTGCAGGTCTTCTCTGATAGAGTCACTAACAGTAATGAATAACTTATCAAAGTGGACTATCAAAATAAACTGTTATTGGAGAAAACTCTTTCCATATCTTTTGATATTGGCATCAAAGGCCATAAATGTAATCAAAACAGTACATGATCTGGCTTAATTATTATAATATATATTACAGTGTTTGTTCAGTGTGTTAGGCTGCTAAATCCTGCTGTTATTAATGCATTATGCAGCATTGTTGCAATATTTTGCTAATTATTATATTAATAAATTTTGTGTCTGATCTTAATGATGTTTATTTGCATGTCTGAGAAACACAAATATAGTACTTTAGACACCAATGAACCGTATAACTTCATCCATAATTAGCAGTTATTTGTCTCTGTGTGCTCAATTGTTCTTTATATAGGAAGAAACACGTATTTTAATGTGTATTTAAGTCTGTATAGGTGTTGAGAAAAGGAGATAGCAACCTTTTGTATAGGAAGTACAAAATTTTGTATAATGAGAAGTGTATGTGCAGTGGTTTGTGTATTTATGTGAGCAGAGTTCTTATGTCATATCTCATCTCATCTCCCTTCAGCACTGGCAGATCCCATTGGGTCGTCGGTTCCGCTCTCTCAAGATGTGGTTTGTGTTCCGCATGTACGGACTCAAAGGTCTCCAAGCCTACATCCGCAAGGTAACTGCCTTTAATCCATACTGTCAATCAAGTTAGCCTTGCCATTCGCATCTTATTTGGCTGCACAGTCGATTTGGAATGATGCAAATTAGCTTTTTTTCCCCTTTCATCTTCATTATATGTTCTGGACATGTACTTCTGAAGATTATATGTTGGTGGGGATACACAGAGCATACAGGACCTATTCTTAAACTCTTTGTATGTTCTTATTAGTTTCATTAGTAAAAGATCATAAAGGTCCATCGAAGAACAATTTTTTTCTCCTATTTGTACTTCTCTTTTCTTTATTCAGTTCTTCAGTCATTCTGAATTACTCAGGTTTAATGGTCAGCTCTCAAATGCTGACCGAACAGTGGCTATAAGGAATAACTGTCTGAAAATTAGGAAATTGTGTGGTCAGATTTGATTCCATTAATCTGCATTGAAAAAAAAAAAAAAGATTACTGATAAACTTAATCTATTTAGGACAATTTATTCTACATGATTAGCACATGATCATTCTCTGCTCTGGTATTTTGGTTGCTTATTTTAATCTACAGGCTGCCCTCTGCTGGTATTCTTGAAGATGTATTTCACCCACAGATGAAAGCTGTTGTAACCACCTATTATTTATTATTTACAACTCACGTTGTTCCAAACCTGTAAGCTGTTAATAATTTTATTTTATTTATTTTTTATTTTATTTTAATGTTTGTTTGTTTGCATTCTGTTCAACACAATATGGGCATATTCCATGAAGACATGCAAGAAATTTTTTTTTTTTCATAAATCATTGTCAGTTTCACACAAATTAGCTGCATAATTTCATGTCTAAAATGTGTTGTTCATCTTGTTTCAGCATGTAGGACTGGCCAAAGAGTTTGAGTCTTTGGTGAGAGCCGATCAACGCTTCGAGATCTCAGCTGATGTTGTGCTGGGCCTGGTCTGCTTTAGACTCAAGGTCAGAGAAAAACTCTACAGAAACAAAAACATCTTTTCCTGTGGTTATAATGGGCTCTGGGAGGTCGTTAACTATGGAAAATTGCAGTATGATTTATTTTAATTTCCACTGACAGGCAAAGAGAGCAACACTGTTGTTATAGTATTTACAAAAGGAACATGGAGGGAAAAAAACAACAAAACTCTGATACCATAATTTTTTTCTTTTTCTTTTTTTTTTTTGAGAATAAATTTACCAATTATTTCATTGCATTTAGGGAAACATAAAAAAAGTCTAAAGTATAAACAATATATTTAAATAAATATATTTAATTTGAGTTATTTCAGTACTACAACTGAAACTAAACAACATTTTTTTCTTTTTCTTTTTTTTTTTGAGAATAAATTTACCAATTATTTCATTGCATTTAGGGAAACATAAAAAAAATCTAAAGTATAAACAATATATTTAAATAAATATATTTAATTTGAGTTATTTCAGTACTACAACTGAAACTAAACAAAAATGAGATTTTTTTATTCTTTCAATTAATGTTTGTTTTGGTTTATTTTAATTAGCAATACTAATCCTAATGTATATTTTATATGTAACCTATTTGTATACATAACCCTGATATTACTCTGATTAATTTACTTACAGTCCAAATAGTCAGTTAATTATAAAGCAGTGCTTAATATATTGGACTTGCTTGAGACAAGTGTCTTTGTTAGCACATTTTTTAGATCAGTGAGCAGTTACAAAATATCCTTACTGAGCTATGTGTTAAACCCTGCAGGGCTCCAATGAATTAAATGAAACTCTGTTGAAGAGGATCAACAGAGCACGTAAGATCCATCTGGTACCGTGCCAACTGGCAGGCAAGTTTGTTCTGCGGTTTGCCATGTGCGCTCGTACTACTGAGTCACGGCATGTTCAGGAGGCCTGGAGCCACATCAGCCACCTGGCATCAGAGCTGCTTCAGGAACTGCCCCACTGACTACTGTGGTGGGCATCACATGTTAAGACAAATGGGTGATCTGTATTACGTCTGCTATCCACACTGTCTTACTTTCACTCTACTGCTGCAATTCTTTCCACTATTTATTGTCAAAATGTATGTATGTGAGTGTATGCATGTTTGTCACAACGGTGTCCACCAAGAGAGCGTCTGTGTCTTTGTGAGCTTGATCATACATGTCCTCTACTGTGAGCAGTGTTTTTTTCCCAAAAAAATTGTACTGTTGTATACTTGTGCGCTTGAAAATGTGTCTATATTGAAAATGAAATATGTTTTGTAAGATGTTCAGAGAATGTGTTCTCTGAATAAGAGTCAAAATGCTTTACCGGAGCATTGTCCTTTACTTATTTCACTATAGCTTTGCTCACTCGTGCTGCATTTTCATAAAGCAAAATCAATTATTGAGCCTAATTTCTCTTTTCTTTCTTTTCTAAAAGCTTTGTTCTTGACTCAGCACAGCTGCTGTGATGAGATACCTCACCAACATTCTTTGACAGCTGTTGTGCCCGAATAGTTAAAAAGATTAAACAGTAGTGTGTGTGTATGTATTAACATTGACAATAAAGTGCATTTCTCCCAAACTGTTGCATGTGAATTGTACATTATAGTGTGTTGCAAGATTACAGTTTGTTAATTCACTATGAGTATCCATAATCTTCTACAATCCAGGTATAGGATTTTTCTGCTGAAAAACACTATCTGCAGCATCTATGCGGCGAGCACTGCCACCTTCCAGTCTGCTGTGTTTCTCCCACAGTAACCTAAAATGCATTATGCTTTACTATTTATAATTGTTAAATATTTTATAGGTATACAGTAAAAAAGTACTTATAATTAATTTGTAAAATATTAGTTTATAGTTTAAATTGATTGTTAATTAATAGTTTATAAATTGTAGTCCCTACATTGTAATTATATATTTATACAATAAATAATTTGTAAATATTTTACATTATATAGCTGTAAATGTATAATAATGCACATTTTAGTTTATCCATATTGTACTTTTCTAGTTTTGTGTACCTGTTAATGTTATGTCTGAATATATATAATGAGACCAGTCCTTTTTTTAAACTAGTGATAAAGATATTGATTATTCTTAAAAACATTAAAAATTAATTATTAGTATAAAGTGGTGTATTTTATGTATACAGTGAATTGATATACACATTTATACCTAATTAATGTATTTAGGGACACTACTGTTAATGCAATAATATCTAGTAAAAGGTAGGTTTAAAGTATACAGTATATAGATGTGGCACTGAGAATTGCTACCGCCAATACATCCACAACATGCTGCTGTGAGCATGTAAGGAATATTGCTGCTACACATATAACATATATGAATAATCCCCATAGCATACATGATCACCCCGTAGCAGATCTATAGGTGGAGCTGGGGAAGGTGGAGGGTTTCTGAAGTGTGCTGCTACTGCTACAGCAAACACCGCCAAGTATTTGAATGTTGAGCACTGAGCTCATTGGCTACTGATACAGGAGAGAACCAATCAGCTGTGCCATGTGATAATGATGTCATTATATCATATTGAGTTAGATCTCTCAGATCTTGAGTTAGATCTAGCTATCTGTTTCATGCCAGAACTTTGTATATACATACACAGGTACAAGATAAAGTAAGTGAACTATTTTAAATGTTCTGGTTTTCTGCATAAATTAGTCATGAAATTTGATTTAATTTTCATCAAAGTCACAAATGTCAACAAACACAATATTTAGCCTTTAATATAAGTTGATGAAACAAACAATCGTCATCTTGCATGTCTTTATTGAGCACACTCATTAAACATACAAGTGATGGTGAGACGTCATAGGCGGGTGACGTAGCGATCAGGAAGCTATAAAAGCACGTGAGGTGGAATCGGGCGTCAGCTTCTAGGAATGAAGCAAGCGCTCGCAGGGATGCCGGAAGTATGGCCCTGAGACGCAGCGTCTCGTTCCCTTCGGGGAACCATGGTTACATATGTAACCTGGAGACGTTCCCCTTCAGGAACTCGAACTGCGTCGGAGAACGCTTTGGGAACGAGTATGCCCACGCCGCCAGACTTGCAAATCCCTGTCTAGTGTGGAAGAGCACAGCTAGGACGAGAGAATAGAAGAGCCAGGAGTGGCTCGCATATCTAGGCCATAGAACCTGACGAACGTGAGGGGCGTGGACCAACCCGCAGCGTTGCAGATGTCCTGCATGGACACACTTGCCAAGAAGGCCTTGGAGGCCGCCATACCTCAGGTCGAGTGAGCCTTGACCCCCAATGGCCAGGGGAGATCAGAGGACTCATAAGCAGTAGAAATGGCATCGACTAGCCACCGGCTGAGGGTCTGTTTAGTAGCAGGAAGACCTCTCTTGGGGGCACCATAGCAAACAAGCAATGCTCGGACTGGGCACATACAGTTAAGCTTCTGCTGGTCGAGTTCCCTGAAGGGAGGAGGACAGAAGGCCTGAAGTACAATAGGATGTGGCGTGACAGAGGGGACTTTAGGAACATAACCCGCTCGAGGGTAGAGAAAAGCTTTGGCCAAGCCGGGCGCAAAGTCTAAGTAAGAAGGGGTCACTGAGAGGGTCTGCAGATCCCCAACTCTCTTTAGAGAGGAAATAGCCAAAAGAAACACAGTCTCAATCGAGAGAAAGTGATCAGAGATCTCTTCAATAGGCTCGAAGGGAGGCTTGCAGAGAGCTTCTAACACCACAGCCAGGTCCCACGTGGGGACGCGAGATCGTACCGGGGGCCTCAGCCTCAGCGCACCGCGGAGGAAACGTGTAACTAGGGGGTGTCTGTCCACCGACTGACCACCGAGAGGGGCGTGGTAGGCCGCAATGTCCGCCACGTAGACCTTCAGGGTGGAGGGGGTCAACCCTGCGGAGAGACAGGCCTGCAGGAACTCCAGCACTGCACCAACCGGGCAGTTAACTGGGTCGAGCTGGCGATCTCCGAACCAAGAAGTGAAAAGTTTCCACTTCAAGGTGTACAGTTTCCTCGTGGAGGGAGCTCTGGATTGGAGGATGGTCTCAACAACCTCGGTTGAGAGACCGGAAGCTA